CCTTTGGAGAGAATTGTTTAACTCCTTGGAGGAGTTGAATAACTCTATAGAATTTACAGTGTACAAAATAGAGCAAGAGAAAATGGTGTAATTACCATAGCCTTAACAACACTTTGTGTTATCTTGAAGTTGAGGCCGGCATTTATGGCCAATGCTTAAACCTTAGAACTTTTGGTAATGCCGGGTTATTCCCTATTCGTAGAAAACGTAGATTTTCAAGGCTATTATAATAACGACATTTTCTCGTGCTCTCTTTTATGTGTGGTAGAGAATAAAAACAATTGTTTGGTATAGCCCTACCACAGTTGTGTGTAGCCATGATGTAGAAAATTTTTTTTCGCTTTTGGAAACCGGAAAAATGGAACTTATTTCCACACGTGTAATAGAGTGGTTTTCATAAACCCGTGAAATAAAGTGTAATAATTAGAGTGTAATAGATCGTAATAGTCGCGTAGAGACAATAAAAAACAAAAGAGCCAAAGTGTAATAGCGATAAATACGCTAAAGTGAGTTTCACGGGTTAATGAAAACCACTCTAAATATACAATGTTTTAATTTACAGTTGAGTCATTGCCATTTGGCGGTGTTGGAGGTAGTGGTATGGGTGCTTATCACGGCAAGCATTCGTTTGATGTTTTCTCCCATAAGAAAGGCTGCCTTGTCAAGAGTCTTTGTATGGAGTCAATGAATGCGTAAGTAGACTGAAATATAAGCAAACTAATTTTTAAGAGGGGAGGGGTCAGGGTGATACAAAATATGCACAAATCACGCTCAAAGAGGGGAGGTGTTACAGTTTTATAAAAGATGTACAAACTATTTTCTAAAGTCCGATTTACACAGGACAACTTTTACCTTAAACTATCGCATGCAACATTTCTAAGTCATCCTTAGAACATGGCTACAACTGTGGCGTATTACCAAACACTTGTTTTTTATTTTCTACGACAGTTGTAGCCATGCATGTTGTAAGTAAGGATGACTTAGGCAATAGGCCGTTTGCATTATGACGTAACTACAACTACCAGAGAGCCTTGCGCATTTTCATTGTTATTCAGATTTTTAATCCCCTTGGAGATTAATAAAACAATAGGCACTAATTTCATTACAAAAGAAAGTTGGCAAAAAATTCTGGTAGTTGTAGTAAATGACGCCATAATGCAAATCGGCTATTTGCATGCGATAGTTGTAGCCAAAAGTTGTACAGTCTAAATCGGCGGATGGGATGGTCCAGGGTACGTTCTAAAACAGGAAATGGGTTAAAGAGTATGTCATCGAATTGTAAGATGATATTTAAAACCACGATCTAAGGGAGAAGGGAGCCTCATAAAAGACTTTTACAAAAGAAGTCATAAAATATGTACAAACCACATTTAAGGAGGGGAGGGGNTACAAAGTATACTAGATTACTGATGTAATAAATATAATAATTAGAAATCCTTTGTTGAAGTTCCTCCAAGATGGCCGCTGTGACGTATAGTGAAAACGAAGTATAGTATTGTTCAGCGTTCCCTACGCCATCTTGAAAGGTAGCCGTGCCTTTGCATCGAAGGAAGACAACCGTTGAGCGTGCAGTGATAGATACCTGTGAATAATTGTCTATTTGTGCGAACAAAGGTTTCTATCATTTCACACTCAACGGTCGTCTCAATTCGATGCAAAGGCACGGCTACTTTTTAAGACGGCGCAGGTAACCGTGAAGGATACTATCGCACAATGCAACAGGGTCGTCCTGCACAAATTTGTTTTGTTTCGTGTAGCGTTGCACGATGTAGACATACGAATTGCAGAAACTTGCAATACCACTGCACAGTGAATCCTCTCTTTAGCCACATTCCTCGGCACGTACCATCTCGACAATCCTTTACAATGTGCGTTCCCTTACAACTCGATCGTGGTCAAACAGTGAAATATGAATTGATGAAATAATATCATCATGACTTGTCCTGGCTTCTCTCAAACACGAATGTTGCATGGCTGTCTTTTTCTCCATCATACTCTTTCAAAGGCTGTCAATAAAGAGAACAGGTTTTAGATTACAATTTTGCTTGGAGTTAATATTCATCTCACTCAGCTTGCACAAACCTGAGGCCAAAAAATGTTCAAAAGTCAAGTGGACTCGCGAGTGCAGCGATAATATAACCGTTTGTGATTATTATTTTTACCAAATTTTTAGCTTTGCAGAATATCTTTTCATGCGCTATGAAAACTCCTTGCTATTGGCATTTTATTGTGGCCCATACAAATTAAATTTCTTTTAACAGGCATCCCTTTCGAGCTCCTGTTTATGTTTGAAATGAAAAATACATCGCAATAAAAATACATCGCAATAAAACCTTTTTACTCTTTATTATCCCTTTCTGCTCTATGAATGGAGATATTGTAAGATTTGACCTTAAAACCTACAGATGGAAACGGATTTGAAGTCACTTCATTTGCCATATATGAAAAATTTAAAACACGACCGCATTGAATTCTGGTGTACCATGGTCCTTTAATGCAAATCTGTTTTCTTCGCCAAAAAATATTAGAAATGTTTTGCCATTAAAAGTTTTTTTCTTGGAAAGGTTCAGTACCTTGCATCCAGCAGCAAGTGCCATCCCAGTAACTCTCTTCAGGTATTCCACCTTCTGCTCACCTTTTAAATCCAACATGAACCTGAGAGAATAAACAAAGTATATACCTATTAAAAACGTTGTCGGGGAGAAAATTGCGAAACACTAGAAATGACTTGGAAATCAAATAGACCTATCCATATGGATCTAATAATCATGAAGCAACAGGTTTCTAGAAGATATTGATACAAATCCTTAATACTATTTGGGCAAAAAATGTTGGACTGAGATGACGTCATTTACTCCATCCTTTTGTTCTTCCATCTTTT